TCTCTCTCTCTCTCTCTCTCTCTCTCTTCTCTCTCTCTCTCTCTCTCTCTCTCTCTCTCTCTCTCTCGTCCTTACGTCGCGCCGCGGTGGCTCGATTTACATTTGCAGCGCGATGCACGATTCTCGAAATTGGACGGCGGGACAATTTCGACGATGCCACAGCTCGCGTGACGATGCCGAATTAATTTGCTGCGCGGAACGGCGCATTTTGCAAAAAGCGCGAGCCCCTGCTTCCGATTCTTCTTTGGCTCTACGACACAGCTTTTCCCGGGAGAAATAAATTTTGCGAGTATTTATTTAAAGCGTGCGCGTTCCATCTTGTTACGTTCGTTTTTTGTTTTTATTCAGAAAATTCGAAAGCGCCGAGTTTGATTTTTCGGTGCGGATATTTTTTCCCGAGAAAAATTTCAAACGAACGCCACCGTTCGTTCTAATTGTTCGCGTTCGGTGATTAAATATCTTGGTAATTAAAACTTAAATTGCGCTGCGAGAAGTGCGCCGTTGTGAGAAAAAAATCGACCGTAAATTGGCAAAAGGGCTTGTGATTAAAATTAATGCCGGCAATTCTGGCAATCTCGCGCTCGCTCGCTAAATATTACATTCTGCGAACTAGAAGGCACGCGCTATAATATCAGATTGTTTGTTATCTTCGCATCACTTGCCGGCTAATGGAGTTTCGACAGTAAATTGCATTTGATGCGTACCGTCCGAGATCTCTCTCTCTCGTTGCGCACACCCCGAGCAGCGCTGCAGAATGTGAAATATTCCACGCGGATTCGCGAATCGCAACTTCGCGCTGCCGAACGTGAATTGTTTCGAGCTGGCGTATCGAGCGGGGGGACGCCCGCTCGCGATGGGCGCCGCGTCGCCCGAGCTACATCTCGCTGCAGCTCTTTCCGCTTCCCGGCGATAACGGCGCCCCGGCGATATCTCCCGGGCGCGGTAAACGCTCGATGCATATTTTTTTCACGAGGTCCGAGAACTCTTTTTTCCCCACACCGCGCGTGCTTCCGTGCCGGGCGATTCCGCCGCGATTGCGCCGGCCGGAGCAGTTAAGCGCATGCAAGCTTGTATCGCGCGACGGCCGCATGTTATCCGACATAATGGCACGCTTAGCGCACCGTGACTTTTTCAAAGCGCCACATCTCGGAGCCTGCTTGGCTCGCTTGTTCGCAGCTACTCGTTCGCTTCGGGCCATCCGAAGCGGTTCCCGCCGTGCAAATGTAGATCAATCAAGAAACCTTCGGTCCTCTAAAGTGTACTTTAATTTCAGCATCGACGCACGGATTAACTGTGCACCAACGTTGAGACCTTAGAACCGCTCGATTTGAAGGAAATAATTAGCGAACGTGTTGGAATTTGACGATGGATCGTTGTGTTGTTTTTTTTTTTTATTCCAAACACTTGTATTCATGTGCTTTTCATTCGGAAAATGCGCGCCATCTGTATTAACGTTTCGTCAGCATTTCGTTCCATTTTGATCCTGTATCTAATTTACACGTTTGCAATTCCGAGGCGTAGGCGCAACTGCATCCCGTAACGAAGTATAATTAACACGATCGCTATCTATATGTCCCGTATATCAAATTGGTAGAATACCGTACGTGCGGAATGCGTTAACGATATGTGTTAACCAATAGCATTACACACGATTAGTACGTAAATGGAATTGGTTCTATGTAATAATAGTAATTAATGGATTAATGCACTGTAAAAGCATGGAAAACCGTACTATTACTGAAGTTCAAGTGGACTAATTTATTGTGATTAAACGGAAAAAAAAAATTATCCCCGGAAGATCGGACGGGACGATACTGCGCGGCGAGATGTGTGATATGAAAAACACATCGAAAATATTACACGTCGCGAAATGAAAATATTATTCGTTGCGTAATGCCGCGCGGCGTGATATTATTACGAAAATCGTAACGAGATTACAGGATTTTCCAATTTAAATTGTTATGTCGCGGAAACGTTTGTCGTTGATTTTTCTTTCTCGGCGAAGAACCGCGTTTTCTCGGACAGCACAGTTTCAAAAAACATTGACCTAGATAGAAAAATATAGTGGAATTACGAAACGCGGAGAAACGCGGAAAACCAGAGAATCGACGAAAAGAGTTTGGTTGTACGCAGTTTTGCCAAAAAAATAATGGAAGCTTTAATTACCGAATAGATTGCCTCGAATTTCTATCGCCGGGTGCTATTCTTCCATTTTACCCTTTCTTTCTTTTCGCTCACTCCCTCCCTCTCTTCCACCCCTTCTTTTTTGTTGTTTTAGTATCTGTCTGCCAATTTTTCGAAACAAAGTAGCGCGCGATCCGTCATACGCGCGAATTGCGAACTTTTTTTCCGATATGCATTCGGTCAGACGTATGAATTCACACCTGCGCATGAGCACGGCGAAACAAAACGGTTTTTTTTTTTGCTTTCTTTATAATTGGATCTGTGCGTTTGCACATTCTAATAATTAATTGAGGTCTAGCTTTGAGTTTTATTCATCGGATATATAAATTTAGAGCGCGATACGAGATGTCCCGCACTTATCAGCATATTTTAAACAAAAATGATAACTTTTTTCATCATTATATTTGCGTGGATTTTTGGTAGACTTTGAAACGAACTCTTTTTTTTTCCGCCGAAAATTCCTCCGAATTTGTAACGATAACGGTGGGCAGAAGTTCCTGGTCGAGATCGCACGGTGATGCATTTGGTTCGTAAAACTCTCGTCATTGGACGGAAGTGCGGCTTCCATCAAGCGGGTTCAAGGCTTTCGCCGGCTTCACTTATCTCGGCCGCATCCCGCGAGCGGATTTCTTCAGGGACGGGAGTTTGCCGAAATCGCGCGCAACTGCGGTGGTAATGATAAAGCGGGCTAAGTCGCGACTTTGGAAGTACGGAGACACGAAGACAGAGCGCGGCGTCGGGGAGGGAGTTTCGTTTTACGGAGCATTAAATTCTGACGAAGTGGCTCGTCTTGTGCCGGGAAGGGGGAATTCCGAATTATCCTGAAACGGATAAGCAGACCGCCGACAGGAAGGAAAAACATCGAAGGGACGCGGAAAGGGCAAGCGGGACAGCGACATTTCTAAGGAGGTTGTAGCGTGGCGTTTCGCGATCGAGAGAGGCCACGGAAAAAGGGCGAGTCGGGCGGGGAGGAGAAACAGTAAGAAAGTATGATGGAAGTACTTTAGGATTTTCGTGGGGGGGGGGAAGGAGTGAAATCTAGGGGGGCGTCAATCGAGCGTGAAAAACTCGACGGCGGCCGTCTCGGGCAGCTCCGCAAGTTTCCTCGTCTACTTTTTTCCATAGAAAAGCTGTCATCGCCGGGATTGCCGAGTGGTCTGTTTTTCCCGCCGATAGTTTAGCTCCGTTTCGTATCCTCGTTCGATCGCGATTATCGGGACTCATGTGCCGCAATTACATCGCGATAAACAATCCGCCCGAGAATCGCAGCTCCGCATGCGACGGAAATGGGGTTGTTTTTCTTGCCGCGTGGAAGAAAACAATATATATATATATATATATATATATCTGGCGCGATTTCAAATTGTAATTCCAACTTATCATTCACGCATAAATCGCGCGCAAACATTCGGGAAAAATTATATCAAGCGCGTATGATTTGAAAAAAAATTCGGTGAATTAAAACTGCAAACCTCGGGCGCTGCACGCTTCAATTGCACGGTTGATTAGTGGCATAATTAACCGATATTTACCGTATTCGTTTTTAATTACGTGCTCGGCAGGTCATCGGGGGGAGGGAGAAGTGTGTGTGAAACCGCCGAAAAATCGACGAGCTTGACGATGTAATCGGCGCGAGCGCGCCGGAAGGGAATACGCGACGGCTAAACTAATTACGGCGGCGCATTACTGGCGCAACGGTCCGCGCTCGGCCGCGAGACGCCGCCACGGTAATAACGAATTACAACCCGGGCTCGTCGTCGCTTTCATTGCGACGCGACGGGACTCGCGTTACAACGCTCCGCGTCCTCGCGGGTCCCCGCACGTACGCGCCGCGATAATTAATTCCCCATTAAACGCGGCGCCGCGGTGACTTAACACGCGTCGTCGTGCACCGGCGCCTGGCAAAAGCCGGGGCTGATGCTGGGTTATTAACGATCCGGCCGCGCCGCTGTGTGTGTGTGCGAGTCACGTATACACGGCACGGCGTTATCAGTGCTCCGATAACGAATAACGTGCTTCGGCACTTTGCGCGAGGCCGCGCGCGCGCCGGATGCGACGCGCGCGCGCCGGATGCGACGCGCGAGCGACGACGATTAGGTTTCCCGTTGAGAGAAGCGGCGAATAAATATAGCGCGTGGACATCGTTTGTCGTTCCGCTCCTATTCGAATTTCTCATCTTTTCCTCCACGCGAATCGTTTATCTCCAGTATGGCAGACGCAGCCGGTCTCCTAATCGGCAAAAAATTGCCGAACATGCTGCGCCAATAAATCTGATTTCTATCGAAGCTACCGGCGGCCGCGACTTTGTGCGCGAGTACGCGAGATTTATCGGGAAGGGCGCGTGCTTGTTTTATCAGCGTTGAATAAAATATCGCTATGAATGCGCGGCGTTCGGCGAAAAATTATTAATTCTTATTGGCAAATGCGTGCGATGCACGACGCGTAAAGGAAAGCGTTCGCGTTGCGCGAGCGCTCGGGACAGAATTTCAACCGACTGTTAAAACAGTCGTGAAGCCCATAAATGCCGTAATATTTACCGTAATTACAACGGCGAAAAATAAGATGCAAAGAGAGCGTGACAATATATAATGTTAGAAACGTTACAATTTTCCTCTTTTCTTTTCACTTTGAAATTAACACCGGCGCGGAACTCGCTGGCTTTATGGCAGCAGCTACGAACAATCTCGTTACTGATCACACATCGAAGTTGCGTGTATATATACATACATATGTATGTACACAGCATCCGTGCGATTACGCGCACCAGGCCGAGGTGTAATGCATTATATACATCTTCGTGCGAATTAACGTGCGGCTTGCTATATACATGTATACATATAAGCGCGTCTGGCGCGTAAAGTGTTTTATCGCCACTGCAATGGTTTGACGTAGCGCGCGCGTTAATTACTTTTGCTTTACGACTGACGTGAGAGGCGTAACGAAAAAAAAAAAGGAAATCCGGGGAAAGTAACGGTGCTGCGAATTACTCCCATCCGAAGGATCCTCGCGATGCAAATTATCCCGCGCTTTTTATCCTTATTTTCCGAGAGCTTTAGCAGTTGGCTCTACGACGATGTTTTACGATCAAGCTTTTACATTAAGCCATTAGGATTTACGCGCGTCTTGGGACATCTTGAATTGTCGGTTTAGATTCTCCGTTCGTCAAGCGTCGCGCCGAATTCTTTCGACTGGCATTATATCGGAAAATTCAAATTCGCAAATTGTGCGGAAAAAGTGGATTTTGTCAATCCAAGCGATTCGGAATTGAAGTTAATTAAATTTGATAAAATAATCTCGCTGCAGTATCGACCTATTCGATTGTATCTGGATGATCTGCGTATCCGAGGATCTATGAAAATTCAAAGAGCTTGATCAATGATTTTGAGACTTTTAACCTTTTTGTTCTCATCGTAGCCATTTAAAATTATGAAATAAAATATTATTGCCATCTATATTTCCATATCTGTGAAAATGTTCTTTTTACTCTTGCGTACATGATTCTAACACATATTTTGATATGTATTTATAAATCTTGCAATAAATTATTAGAATATTATCATCAATTTTTCACCGTCACAGTTCGATGACGATTTAAATGCAATTAACACTTAATAAAGAGATTTGTCAAGATGAGAAAAAAGATTTTTCTTACGTACAACTTTACGATGCAAATTATGGTTGCGATAAAAATAAAATTTGCTGTTAAACAGTAGCGAACAAGTCCTCGAACGTTTTCAAAACGTCAACATTTTTTAATGAATAATTGATCTCTTATGCAATATTTTTGCGCAGCTATTAAACAATTTGAGAACGAAGGGGTTAATTTGCGTTAACTTTCGGGAATCATTGCTTCGAGTATCTGCGGAGGATCCACGGGTTTGCCGGTTTGTTCCGAGTTTCAAAATCTCCCAAATCGATGCTTGGGGAATCCTCGCGTCGATCATCAAAATCCCTGGAATATCTCCCACCGTAATAGCTCCCTCGAGCGTGTTTCTTTCGGCAGATCGCCTACGCCGCATGGGAAGAGCTTCCCGCAACTACACCATCGGCTGGGCAATGCACTGATGATGATCGCCACGATGATGGCAGCAACGACGATGACGACGACGAGGATGATGACGACGACGACGACGACGACGACGACGACGACGACGACGACGACGACGACAATAACACGCCGATGATCGCGATTCCCTCGCTGCATCAAGCGCACCGCGCCGCAAAAATGGCCCGCACACCTACGCAAAACACATATACGGATACTCACATATTACACGCAGTATCGTATGCGCAGCGCGATCGAGCCCTTCGATCTTTCGAAAGCGTAGGATCGTCACTTGGATCGCGAGGCTCTCTCTCGGCTTCTCACAGATCGCCGCGGACGATTCGGATCGTTTGAAACGATTGCGCGGAGAAAACGCACCGGTCGCGGCGCGGCCAGATTGGAAGCTTCGCGTAACAAATTATTATGTGGATGTCTCGTCTTTGTTATTCTAAATAAATATATATATATATACGAACATTTATATAAATATATATTCCTGTGCACCAGAGTTATATCGCGAAGGATACTCTAATGACGCGTTCTCGTGGCGCTCATGATGTAATAAATTTAAGCTACCGTACGAACGTGACAAGTATCGATTATGTTAATTAATATATATATATGTACGTTGCGAGACGTATATCGTCCTAATTGTGTTAAGTCGTCGGAGATAAGTGGAGGGAGAACGATGAGAAGTGTAACGCGAAAGGAGCCGGAAGGATGTTTTTAACACGATACAGAGAGATTCCCGTTTACCGCTTTAACGGCTACTTAACTGGATTTATTTAAATATTTATACACGGAGAAGGAGTTCTTTAATTAATTCGACCAAACTTTTGCCCGAGTGCACGCTGAGCGATCGGGTGTAAATTCTATTCTGCGTGTTTTATTTCTCTCTTTTTATCTCACGAAACTGTCTTGCCGTTTCACACACTCTCTCTCTCTCTCTCTCTTTTCTCGCTACTGCCCGGTCGTTGCAGGATGACGCTTTTACGCTGCAGAACAAATAGAATCGATTGATTCGAATGCGTCGCTCTGCCGCGAAAACAAGTATTAGAGGACTTAGAAACACAAGGATTTTTTAGAAATTGAAATTTTCTCATTTTTTATCGAAAAGGTGCGTTCAATGCGCACTGGTTATTCCTCTAACGACACTGACATTGCTGTTTTTTTAATATTATTCATATCATTTTAGCGGTATTTACGTCCCAGCACAATGCAGACAGGTCATGGCGACGCATTGAAATCAATGAATGAATTAGCTGTCTCGTCACACAAAGGTTTTATTTATTTTAAAAAAAAAGGTAAATAAACAAGCGATTTGCACCACCGACCCGATCGTTCCGCTCGGCGTATAACGTTACTGTAATATTTGCTAAGGTACTAACTCGTTTAAATTAATAATTATTTTAGCATATAAATATATATGTATACAAATCAGTCTGTACATATTGTCTTCGATGTCGTTTCTAATCGATCGATGTGACCTACGTGTTGTAACGAGAGAGAATAGATTATTAACGCGCGAGAGAGGGTGGCATAATTGTCGTGTGCATGCGCGCGCGGATGAGAGGGAGAGAAAGGGACGGGAGTGTGCGTGGGTGAAGATAATTACGCGGAAGAAAAAGAGTCTTACTAAAATATATCACGCCGATTGTCACCGTCGTATTCGAGATGTTGAATTTCACGAAAATGCGCGGATCAAAAGTACTTTTGCGCTATTGAATAGAATTGTTAAAAGTATCGTGAAGACTATAAAAGAATCATTAATTATAAATATTAGAATTTATCAAATTCGCAATCTTCGGATTCGTTACATTTGCGAGCATTTTTGAATACGTGCCGATTTTTAGACCCTCTGTCTTCTTAAATTCTTCGATGAATTTTCGAGTCCTTTTGTAAATAATTTACAAACTTCTTTTTTAGTAAGTGACGTGCAAAATTTTTTTTGGTAAGCGTAGTTGTGTATCGTAGAGGTGACGAAAGAAAGAAAAAAAAAAGAGCTAATAACAAAAAGAGTATTGTAACCATTTGTTTCGCTCGCGGTCTTCTGGGCGCATTCTTTATTGCAAACGTATTCGCATAATGCACTCTGTCACACGGAACACGCATCACATTATGTACACATACAACACATGAAACTGAAATGCACGCGCCTTGCTGCTAGCCTTATCTTGTAACACGAGGTTTAAATAAATTGCTGAAAAAACGTATCCCGCCTTTGCGTTATTTATTGCATTACCTTTGAAAATTCGTCGAGTCGACGCTGCGCAAACGTACAATAAAATTCAAGATTATTATCTCCAACTGCTGTTCATGCAAATGACGGAATCGATTGAATTCGTTTCATATCGAGTTCCGAGATCATCACGTATCGACAAGCTCGACTCGATTTCTCCATCGCAGATGCGTAGAAAGCATAGCTACATTTTGCGTAAAGCTAGAAACGACAGAATAGCAAGACTTTCCTTCGCAAATCGATGTAAATCTTGTCATATATACGTGCTTTTCGTCCTGTCAGGGATGGTAATGGGTTGTTCAATAAACTTCTTCCGATCTGTGTCTTTGTAGGTGTTCTTTATTCCTTGTAAAATCATACAGCAAAAGCGATCGGATCTACACAGTGTAGTAAAGCGAGATACAAGTGAAGTGAATGTTCGCCGGACGAACGACGGCCAAATCGGATTTCGAAAAATCCCCTAAAATGAGAAAAATTTACAAACATTTTTTGTCGTTATATTACAGTAAATTACGAAAGAGGAATATTCGAGATTGAAAAAAATGTCGGATTTCACTTTCATGAAAAATCTCTTAATTTTTGAACGGATATATTTTCTTCTCTTTTTGAATCCTTTATTTTCACAATTTTCGACTCTCGTGCCGGGCGAGAGATTTTATGCGCCGTTGATTCGTCCGCAAACTCAGAGATACATCCTTTTCATCTTACTTTCTTCTTTTTTTTCTCTGCAAATTCGATTGGCCCGAAGAGCGCAAGGTCCTCTCGTAAAAATCGTTCGCGGTCCCCGTCGCGGGGACAAGCGCGCGCGCGCGTGACTTAGAAACTTAATAACTAATTCTGATGAAATACAGGCAATGCAAATATACGTGTACCTAAGTCCTAATAAAAACTAGAAGTTCTCTCGTGATTAATTATCCAAAATATATGTTACCTAAAGTTATCGTCGGCTGGTGACGGCGGTCGACGGTTAGTGGCAATCAAATGACCAGCGATGTCAATTCATGATTTGTATGATGAAACAAATGCCTTTTATACAAATAGCTCTGTGGTACATAAAATTTGATTTCCCCTACTACAGTATCGGTATATATATATATATATATATATATATATATATAATATATATATTATTTTATTA